AAAGTCAAAGGAGTAATAATGTAATTAATTTAATTTAAGTCAATAACAATTATAAAAAAATAAAAATAGTAGCCAGCTGTTTTTTCCTTAAAAAAACGTGCTTTGAGCCTTTTTTTTTTTCTTAAAAAACGCCTGCAGCAAATTTCTCAAAAAAATAAGTACAAATAAGATTCGAACCCGCAACATCAGCCTTCTAAAGTTGCCCTCCTACCGTGGCATCTCAAGCCAATTTTATTCTCTGGGTGACACGCTTTATATTTATATAAATATTATATATATATATATATATATATACCTATGCATATATAGTGTTTCCGTCGAAGTTCGGAGGTGGCGCGGCACCTCAACACCTCTTCATAGATCCGCCCCTGACCACAAACAATAATTTTAATACACAATGTAAATTAACACCGAAGAAAACTCAAATGAATCTCTTACCTCCACATAGCTTTACTTCTAATATTCTTTCTCGAAAAATTATATCACTTATATTATTGATCAAATATTACTTTTTATGCTACCACTACTTGCATATGCTTTTCTTGTTAAGCTATGATGACACACATGAAGAATTGATGTGTACAAGCAAACCCCAATAAGGTTGAAGTACAGAGTTCAATGATACATCACAATGAATTGACATGTGGAGAGATCCCACCTTTTATTGTTTAGTCTGAATCTCAAACTTTTTTTTTTTTAAAAATAAAATTTCTATCCAATGTTTCGATGTTCGATGTTCGATGTTTGATATTCGTAATGAAGTTTGATTATTTAAATTTGTATCTCATAGGGCCTTAATTAGGAGAAAGCGTTTCATGCTAAGAATTTTTCATATTCATAATTCAAATTCAAGACCGTTAATTAAAAAAAGAATAATTTTATTTATTGCACCACATTTTAAAATTGAGAAGAAATTCATAGCATAATATTTTTTAAATTTTAGAAAAATATTACTGGGTGTGATTCATTCATAATGATGTAAATTTCTAAATATCCTTTTTGAAAAAATTGTATAAAAAAAAATATTAAACACAGTTTAAAATTTTGTAAGCTATTATAAACATTATACAATAGTTTCAATTATCAACAAAATTAGAAAAATCTCAAATTCGAAATCTAATATTATCCAAAAGGAAAATTTCATTAGATGCTACATGTGTTGCAATAGAGTGTTAATAAGACACATTCTTACCTAAGTCATTTATTCATTTGCTTCATATTTTTCTTTTCAAATCCATCAGCGATAGAGGAGTTTAGGCATGATTCCGACCTGTGCATTAAAAGATCACGCTTATACAAGAAGAGAGTGAATATTTGTCTAGGCCCTCTTGAGTTACATGAAGGATGTATATTTTCTCTTTGTACAAAAAATATCCTCTACTATTAGGAATGAAATAACAACATATATTATATTACCCTTATTTAGAAATGGGAGTTTGGGAGGACGGACAAGGACAAAATTGTAATTTTAAGTTTACTCCATCTGTACTATGTATAACACGTGTTTGGCCTTCAATTACCATCTCTCAATCATTTCAGAAACTGATAAATTTCTCTTTATTTCTACAAGCAATCACTCCATCTCTTCCTCTTTCGAAGGTGATTTTCTTGGGTTTGCATTGTTCCTCCATCTCAATACATTTTTTCCTGATTGAATGTTAAATTTTTCATGTGCTTTCTTCTTCTCTGTTTTTAGAAGACTTTTTCCATGCCTTTGTATTGTTCCTAATCTACTTCTTTTGCAAGGGTTAATATTTGGAGAAGTTTTGGCAAATGAATTTCATATTTCACTACTTCTCTATGCTATGGCACTTTGCGCACTCAAGGTATTCGATAATATGCCTGATAGCACTAACAATATTTTGTTATGTTTCTTTCTTCGTAGATTTCACTATATTTTTTACTATATATAATAAGTGGGAATATGTACTGTTGGATGATATGTGCTTAGATAGTGTTGTACATTCTTCTTTTTATGATTGTACCTTTAAAATTTATATTATTGGACAATTAACACCATTAATTACCTACTACTTTATTAGACCGAAAAGTTAGACCTCATTTGGGCCCATTTATTATTTATATGTTTCTAATTTCAATATATGTTGTCTATCTTATTCTTTTTTTCAACCTTTTATTTTTAAACTTCTTGAAATTTAATTACCTATTTATTACTCTCTCTATACTACTTTTAATTGTTATGTATTTCCTTTTAGAGTCAAACTATAAGAATTTTAACTAATATTTTACAATATGTTTTTTCATCATATTCATATGCAAAAAATTACAATTTATAGTACTTTTTGTATAGATTTTGCATATTTAAATTTTTTGTTTAAAATATCAAATTAATACAATCTAATTCAACTTTGAAAATTATTATATTATTACTACTATTAATAAGAGTGAATGTGAGGAGCTTCCCGTTTATGGGACTTGACAAAAAAATCCTCAGATGTTATTTTTGTAATTTCACATGAAAAATGTAATTCAATTGGTTAGTTAAAGGAGTAGTGCAGCTGCATTTCCTTTTTTGTATCGATTGGACTAATTTGTCCCCTTAAAACTACAAATAATTCGCACAACTTTTTGAAAACATGCCCCCCACTTATTACTACTTAGTTGTATTGCTTTGGTGACTGATATCAACTATTCTCTCACCAATAATATTTCTCCAGTATTGACTTTATACATTTTTTAAGAAATTATAAATAAAAGAGTAATATTACTATATCATTCTTTAAATATAATAAATATAATGTATTAAAAAATATAATTGAAAAATGACTATAATTAATGATAAGGGGTAAACTATCCATTGATTTCATAAAGTGGACAAGTATTGTAGGACATTCCAAAATAGTATAATAGACAATAATTATTGGACGGATGGAGTAGGATTAAGTCTTTCTTTCAGTACTTTTCTCACATTAATTAATTTCTCTCAGCATTCAATTAGTGAATCTTTAGTAGAATTAATTAGAATACTTTTTACTTAATAAGACGCACAATAAACAATAAGAGGAAGCTTTCGTTGCTCTGTTCTTTTAAGGGTATGTTGCTAAACCATCAACACTGAAAGGTAGCTCTACTGATAATTGTGAAGAAAGTATATTAATGGATTAAAAATCAGAAAGAGGTAATTAAACCCTAAAATATTATAAAGACATCTATAAAATTTGGTTGAAGCTCAAATCTATTAGTGCCATATAAATTAGGATAGAGGAAATAACATATATTATTTGAAATAACATGAAACGTACTACAAATCACACAATAATTAGCAACTTCAAAATTTAAAGGACATACAAAAATTTTGATCAACTCTCAAAATTCTACTAATGTCACATAGTTTGGGATAGAAAAAGTAACATATACGTAAAATGTACTATAACTCATAATAATTAAATAACTTCAAAATCTAAAAGACATATACAAAATTTGCTTGACTTTCGAAATTCTATCAATGACACATAAATTGGGACAAAGAGAATATTGAAAATTACATATAAAGTATTATTAACCACAATAATCAACAACTTAAAATTTAAAGAACATACAAAAAAATTGTTTGACCGTTAAAATTTTATTAATGTCACATAAATTAAAATAAAAAATAAAAATATATGTTGGAACCGTGCTAGCACGGACTACTGTAACTAGTTTCTACAATTTACACAAACCAAGTACTCAACTTGGAAAATAAAATGTTCCCTTCTTTTTTATTTTCCTTAAATATAATATAAGCTTATGTTAAAAAATATATTAAATTAGTAGTTGGATTTAACTAATTAGTCTAGTCTATATATATTATGCAATCACTTGAAGATGCATCATCATGATAAATTAGAGAGATATAATTCCTTTGATTACAATGTCTACTAGAAGTTTTATATGCATGTTAGCAGTTGTTCCTGATTTTCACATGCATTGTGTCTTTTTGATGTATTTTGTGTTGATTAACAACTAATTTGAGGCGGATAATGCACCTAATGTATTGATGATATGTTTGTAAGAGATGGAATCTAAACTTTTATATTCTGTTGCTTTTGAAATGAAACATGTAAAGCAATTATAGTGTGCATTTTTCAGGTTCTTAATTAGCCAAGATCTGTTCATGAACTTTTTAAATACTCAAGGAAAGCCATTATACTCATGTAAAGATGTATTATCTTTCAAATGTTGCAGTACACCTAATATGAATCCCAATATATTTGGAATCTACAATGATGCTTGAAAATAAAGCTTAAATCTATATTATTGTCTTTTATGATAAGACCATAGAAGAATCACACAACAACACTCAAAGTACGAATAACCGATTGAAGTAATATCATGTTTTTGACGCTTTTTTTTTAATAACTATCACTTGAGAAAAATATACTCCGATCTTAATGGATGGAGAAACAGGTGATAGCAGAATACTTTGAATAAAAATACTATTTCTACAGTTTTTCACTATTTTCTTCATTTTAAATCCCCACACCCCAAAAAGTCCTACTATCAACCAAAGGAGTTAAGTTATATAGCATGTTGTATAGGTTATAGCATTAGTTTCAAAGTTATTTTTTTCGTAATTTGATAATGCAAAATGTATTTTTCTATGTGCATGCTAACACAATACATTGGAGATGAAGGAAGAAAAGGAGTGCACTGGGGAGAACATGAAGAGTCTCAATCGAGATTAACATAATTCATAAGCCATCTCTATTGTTTCTTGACAAACTTATATCTAATCTTCATTATCAAGTGCTTTTAACATTGTTGAATAAGTGAAATATGTTTCTAGCATAGTCCTCATGACCATCCACTAACAGATTGCACATGGCTGGTCTGGGAGGTGCAAAATTCACTTTTCTTAGTGCAATAGTCTGGAGAACTGCAGTATCCTTGTAACAAAGGTTGATCCTATTTCTCGATTTTCAACTAATGTGACTTTTTCAGTTATGTGTATTTCTATGTTCTTTATATAAAAGTCAGTGATTTATCTACCCTTTTTTTTAATCCAAAAAAACAAGAAATTGCTTACTTTTGTTCAAAAAGTTGATGGGAATGTGGTCCCTTAAAGTTCTTGAGATTCTCTTTTGCTATCATAGTTAGCGCTTGGTTTATACTGGATCGTGTGATACTAGAACAAGGATTCTCAAATGACCTGACAACCTACTTATGAGATATGAGTATTGCGAATCTTTTCGTTAGGCAAGTTTTCTCAATTGCCTCTTTCTCTTCTTAGTGTGTAATCTTGAGCTTAAAGTTATCTAATACTTATATTTTTAGATTGTAATTGAGGATTCTCATAATAGTTCTTGAGATTCTCTTTTGCTAATTTAGGAGAATGACAACAAATACATATGTTTCCTCTGTATTCCTCAGTTCAGTAGTATTATTAAGTAGTCGTGTGTTCTCTTATTTTTAATGTATATTACTCTTTGTTGCTTCCCTGCTTCATCTCTTGCTCTTTTGCTGACATATTTTTCTAGCAGATCTGCTTCAGAAACTCTTTTTTTGAGCCGAGGGTCTATAGGAAACCATCTCTAAACCCCCACAAAGGTACGGATAAGGTTTGCATCCTAACCTCCCATAGCTCACTTGCGGAATAACAATGGATATGTTGTTGTATTTATCATGTTTCTTCATGAGTAGACTGCGTCATTTTATGTAGAAAAATGCAGCAATATGCATTTTAAAACTAATTGTGATTATCCTCTTTCTTCATGTTTATACTTGGCAAAATGTTGTACCTTGAAGGTTGTTTCTTTGTGTTCAAACATTAGATCAGTTAAATTGTCTTTGTTTGGTCCGTCTATGTTGATAATAACTTTTAGGCTGATAATTATTGCCTATGCATCAAATGAAAAATTGTAAACCTTAGTAAATTTATAAAATTGACACGTATCTTTACATTTTGGAGTGTTATTTGGATGTGTTTCAATAATTTTTGCTAGCGGGTTGTGCCATTTAAGCATTCAAGTCTGCCAGCTGATTTTTTTTATTATTCTGAGATCCTCTGAAGATTTAAATGACATGCATCCATTTTGGCTCTTTGACAAAGATTCTCGGCTTGCAATAAAATAAAAAATATTTTAAAGCAAAGCAATATTGGGCCAAAAGGATAATAGTTATGGATGATTTATATAGTTGCCTCTAATTTTGTTCCTGATTGAAGCTTAGTTGGGTTCTTTTCATTTTGAATTTTCTTAACAAATTGAAGGATGATTTATATTATAAATCGACTTTAACGGCTCTTTGGGATAATAATATGTTATATTCTTTTTAGTAATACGAAATCTAACAATGACATTTTAATAACCGTCATATTTAGACGAATTGTTCATTGAGCAGAAGAATGTTGTTCTGATATAATAGTTTAAAGTGCATGGTCTGCTTGATAGTGTATTTGAATAGTTTAAAAGGCAGGGGAGCTGAGAGCTTCTCAACTGCGGAGGGAGTCTCAAGTTCCTCTTTTTGTACTTTTTGGTAGATAAAGAAAGTATGTTAATTTATGCATCTAAATTGTAGGATAATTCTGGTGATATGAAGGAGTCATCATTTGTCATTTAATATTTTTTTTTTCATTTTTAATGTTTTCAAGGAGGCATCCTGTAAGGATCATGTAAGCAGATGATGTTAGCTGACTGTCTTAACTTACTAGGCTGTGATGAGATCGAGAGAAGGCAAACAACAGATCAGGTAAATAATCTCTTCATTTATAGTGTTTTAACTCTGTTTTCACATTTTTTGGTATTTGAATTGACATAAGACATGATAAATAAAACTAAATTCAATTTCTCGCAGTCCTTCTCCCTTAACCCTAAGACAATACCTTTTTGTTGTCACTCAAGTGCATGGTCTGCTTCATAGTGTATTTAAATGATTTACTTGATAGTGTTTTGTGGACCGCTCATACTAAGCGAGATAAGAATGAGCTTTATAATCATATGTGGGGTGCTCATATTATGCGAGGTAAGAATGAACTTTTCCGTTCCTTCATAAATCATAGGGAACTTATTTCAGTTTCTCTATCAAAAAAAACTTTTTCCAGTTACTTAAATTGTGTTATCAAATTGTCATGATAATTCATTAGCTGGTATTTCAAATTTTATAGTTTATTTAAGAATAGAATGCTACTTTGGTTGACAATGAGTTTGACTGAAAACTTCTCAAAAGAAAAAGGTTAAGGGCACATGAATATAGTAGTTTATGATCTTACCAAAAAAATGAATATAGTAATTTATGATTAGGCATTTCTCCTATATAAAGTTTTAAAAAGTGAGAGTCTACGTAAATGTTTCCCTCCCAATGCACAACATATGAAGAAACGGAAGCCTCAACGTTTGACTTATTAGGGAGTTCGATATCAATCATACAATTTATCTTGGTAGATTTTTAGAAACTTAATAGTAATGAATATGACTCTAGGTCATTTTCAGTAAATGTTCTTTCGTTTTCTGATAGTAAACGTGGCTTTTGATATGGGATCATTGCAGGACATTCGAGGCTGCAAAGTTTGTATCATTTTGAATGTTCTGAAATAATTTTTTAAATTTTTTTTCATCTTTCAGCTATTTCTCAGTAGAAGTTATGTTATAAATTTGTGTCATAATGTTGTTTTTCACTATCGGCCTTGAAAGCTTGTAGTTTGCTATTGCAGGTTACTTCCCTGCAGGAGTAGTAGTAGTTTTTTTTTTTTATCTTTTTCCATCACGTATTTGTCATTTCAAGCCGAGGATAGTTCTAGATCGATGTAAATGGACTTGTATTAGCATTAAAAAAGTATTTGGTTTCTTTTCTTCATGTTTCTGTAATTGTAAATAAAGTGAGAATATAAATGACTTTAATTTTTGTTGTACATATTGTCGTTTACACCCTTTAATAGAACTGTCGAAAAATATAAAATGTTGGGCCCGTGCTAAGCACGGGCCGCGCCCATCTAGTATATATTAGAAGAGAGAGTTTCAAAGACTGCTTATTGGTCATTCAATTGGCAAGTGGGGATATTTTTGTCATTCCAACTTCTCAAAGTGATAAGTATTGCATAGAAAAAATTGTACTATGAGCATTATTATTTGGACCTTCTTAACATCTTAGAAAAAACCCTACACTTTTCTACTAAATTACATATTATGCCTTTTATCATTGAGTATAGTGGGGTCCATTTAATTTTACAATTGACACCTATACCATGATAACTTTATTGAGTTTCTATATATTTTCATTTTTATTCTCTACATATTAAAATTGTTTAAATTTAATATAGATAAATAATTTAATAAAATTTTATTATTTAGCTTTTATATTCAAGACAAATTATTTTCTAAGATTATTAATAGTCATATTTCTATTTTTAAAGTATAATTAATAAAAATATTTTTTTAAATAAACTCCTAATAAATAATTTATTAAGAAAAACATCAAATTAATTTAAATTATTTCTTTTTATTATACTTTACTTTACTTTACTTTTACTTACTTATATAGAAGAGACAGCAAGATGACTGATTTTTTGCCATCTTTATAAAAGAATAAGGGTCTTTTGGTCATTTACACTACCAAACTCATCAATAAAGGCTGTATACGTGTCTTAATACTGCTTTGGAAGAGACACGTAGCAATGCTGCTAAACTGATGTGCATTTAGGACATTCTATGAGAGTTGATGCTCTGTCTCTCTTCTTCTTTATTTTGCAAAGCAAAAAAATCAAGTTTTTCTGTCTGGTTTTCCTGCATGTGTTGTTGTTGTATAGGTAAATGATTATATTGGGTTATTAAGAAATGTGTAGTTTTTTGTTATCTTTTTCTGCTTTTTGGTTATATTTTTGAGTTGTGGTTTTGAAATTTCTCTCCATCTTTCATAAATTTTAATGAAAATCAAGACCCAATTCGATTCTTCTATTTTAGATTTGTAGGGTTACCGGTTGGACTATAAGAATTGCGTCTTTGTTGAATTTAGAAATTTGAGATGTTCTTTGCTTCTTTGTTTCGCCTCAAATTTGTCTTTGAAGTTGCCGTTGATTTTTAATAAAAACAAGTCGCACCGTAAGTGATTGCATATACACTATTAGTTAGTCTAATCAATACAATAAGCCTATCATTGGTGTACTTGCGTATAAGTAGCAATTATCATTCTTTTAAACTTATTGATTCTAAGCTCTTGGGATGTCCCACACAATTTTTTTAAGTTGTTCGAGTTAGATTTGAGAAGAGGTAAAACAGGCTAAAGTGTTTGACACTTTCAAGACATAGTTCAACAGCGGTTCAATGTAAGTTTTTTTTTTAACTCTTGAATGTATCATTTGAAGTGATTCTATGTATGTGCATGGTGTCTTTACTTTGGGCATTATAATCTATTCCTCAAAAGGTCTTCGGTTAAAAGAGCACAAAACTATGATAAAACACTATAAATCTTAAGCCACAATTGAAGTCACAAATTAGACTATTCCATTATAGTACAAAAAATCTTCCATTTTATAGATTTCGCTGGGACCATATTTATATATATATCTTGGCATTTGTGTAGTTGTGATTGATAGTTTGTTGCATTTACTTATATTACTAGCAGTGAAAATAGTTTGATTATTGTGATCAATATATTGCCTTAGAGCTCATATAGTTTTTCAGAGTATTATGATATATGAGCTACTTGAATTGTGTAAAACAACTACGTTTGTCCTTTTCATTTATTAATCGATGCATTGGAAATAGTTCTCTGTACAGTCAATCACTTCTTAGTTTACCAATAAAGAGTTGAATGATGAAGGAACTTCAAGTCAAAGTAGTGCCAGTCTGCGGTCATTTTCCTAGATGAACCACAAGAAGATTTGTGCTTGTGTTCTTTGTGAACTTAAAGAATAAACTCGATCGACAACTTTACTTGTATTTGTGTTTATGAATTTGTCTCTGCTTTGACCGACCTCAGAAACAATAGCTAACTACCTAGCCTTTTCAGCCTTGCACTTGGTTCTTAAGTAATTATATTGAAGTAATTGTACACTTGCTTCCATGTATGTACATACCTCCTATTTCAAGCAACTGTGATTTGATTCTTTCCAATCTTGTAATTTATGAATAATATTTTTTCTTCTTCTCTCATATGTATCAGGTCTTAATCTTTTGATCAAAGATCAAAACAACTCAATCTGCATCTCAACTAACTTTCTATACAATGTATCACATTTTGTTATTATGTAAAATAAGTGTACATAACTATCTTGTAAAACTTAGTTCCTTAAAATATCAACAAACGATTAATATGCAAGGTTATCTTACGCTACATACTTGTAATCCAACTTTTAATTGATATCAAGTTATGATATTTATTATAGAAATCATTTCCTTATTTCAAAAGAAAAAAAAAACTTATTTTCTAGAGGAAATATGTTGCAAAAATTTTAGCTCATCAAATATAGAAAATTAACATTTTACAGAACACACCGATAGATTCATCAAAAAAAATTTCTCCAATTTCACGTAAAAATAAATTTAACAAAAAAAAAATATTACATAATAATATTGGACCCATGCTGACACGGGCCATTACTTTCTAGTTAAATTTATCAAGGACACTTCCTTTACGATGTAAATTTTGTTACACTGAATTTTTTTTAACTATTAAGTATACTAAGTTGTTGTTATAGTCAACCATGATCGAAAGAGAATTTTTTTTTGTTTGAACTCTTATTCAGGAGGTTGGTGTCTTTTTAATTTCGTTTTTCACAAGATTTTTAACTCTCATAGAATAGATACAAATTGTGTGAAAAATGATCTTTGCATAGTATTTACTCCCATATTTGCTAGATAATTTGTTTTCACCTTTTTATAACTATGTTGAAAGGGAAGTTACCTTAATCTTTGTCTATGTCAATTATTTAATAATGTGTCAAATTAAGCTAAAACGTTCTATTTTTGTAATTTAGAAAAAAAGCTTTAAGTCAATATCAATCCTCGATCAAATTTAGAAATAAATTACATGAACAAATTACCTATAAACAGACGAAACTAATACTTTGATGATTTATTTATTTTGACTTTAATTACTAAGGGATTGTTTCATAAAGTGTATTAGTAAAAATAATTTAATGATTGATCTCACAAAATTAAATATAACTATCTTTATTTTTTTGAAATTCCAAAATAATTTGCACTAGACAAGTCCAATACAACATGCTCGACTTAGATTACATTGAGAAAAAAAACATTCTAAATTACACCTTCCAAATTAATAGAGCCACCTTGAAGTCTTAAAGGACCATTTGATAGCAGATTAGAAGTTAAGTTATTTATATATTAATTTTTGTAAGTATAATATCATATTTAACACACCAAATATTTTCCTTAAAAAGTTCACAAATTATTGAAGAAAAATAATAATTGTTGAGCTTGATTTGAGATTTAAAAAGTACGATTTACTTTTTTGATAAACCCAATACGAATTTATATTGAAATTTATTAACTATGAAATGAAAAATGCTATCTTCAATTCGAAGATTGTCAATTTTTTCAATTTCATCATTTCAATCTCCAATTTCACTTCGCAAATTGATCATAATGGATTCTTCATCTTCATCTTCATCATTAGTTGATAAATCTTCTCAGAAATTGTTTGCTTTAGCTCAACAATTGCGTCTTTACAAACCCCCACCACCGACACCATTTGGGGACGATGATGAAGCTGAAGCTGATTTCGAGGAGCAGAAATTGGAAGAAAGGGTAGGGAAGGTTGTTTCCCAATTGGGTTTTCAAGAATCGGTAACCCCAGTTGCTGTTGTGCAGAAAGAAAGATTTAAACCCAAAAGAGCTGCTGTTTTGATCTGTTTATTTGAAGGGGTTGATGGGGAACTTCGGGTTATTCTTACTAAGAGGTCTTCCAAGCTTTCTACTCACTCCGGTTAGTGAATTTTAGACATTTTTTGTAGAAACTTAAGGGTCGGAGGCGGAGTCAAAATTTGAAGTTTATGAGTTCTGAACTCGATACAGAACCCGTATCACAGTTATTTATACATATTCAATTTGAAGCTTATACTGTAGCTCCGCCCCTGATCATAGTGTAGTGTGGTTTTGGTAAATTGTATGCAGAACAAGTAATTTATCTTAAATGATAGTTTTTTTAATATTGGGATGAAATGGGTCTGAATTGATTTGATATGTGATTTGATGCATGTAGTTGATATTGTCGATGGTGATAGTGTGGTTTTGATGTTTGTTTGGAACTTCAGTCAGCACAATGGATTCTGCTGAGCTACAATGTATTTTGTCTTATCTTAAAGCAAATTCTTGTGTGTGTTTTGCTTGTTAAAATAGTATGTAGTTTCTATTAGATTATGAAGAGGATTGTTGTTTGCAATTGGTAATAAAGATGTTTAGTCTATCTGACATCCTTGTAACTGTATATTGTGTTGAAATTTTTGGGCCGTAGGTGAGAAGATGGGTTATGGTTGTTGATTGATCGTTATAGTGTAGTGGGATTTTGGTAGATTATATGCAGAACTTGTAATTTATCTTAAAGGATAGTTTTTTTTAGTATTGAGATGAAATGGGTCCGAATAGAATGGTTTGGATATAGAGGTGAAGGATTTTCATATGGGAAACTCCAAATAGTTTCTCGGATTGAGATGTAGTTGATTGATTTCTTTGATATGTGATTGTGATTTGGTACATGAAAGAGGTATGCAGTTTATATTGTCGATGGTGGTAGTGTGGTTTGATGTTTGTTTAGATGTAAGTCTTGAAATATGTACCATTTTCTTTTAGATTATTAAGAGGGATTATAGTTCATCATTGGTAATGAGATGTTTGC